AACCAATAAAAGTTTTCTTTCCTGTACTTTTCACGTATTGGTCTATAAAAAAGACCTGAGGTAATAAACCACTGACCAATGATGGTGATGTGTTAGTTTACTAACCAATAAAAGTTTTCTTTTCTGTACTTTTCACATATTGGTCTATAAAAAAGACCTGAGGTGGTAAACAGAGAGAAAATTCTCCAGTTTGACTCCACAAGAGAGTCTGTGTCGTTCTTCTCGCTGCTCCTGTTAAGAATAATATGTTACAGTTGCTGTTTGTAAACTCCTTACTTACCTTGTACCCCTGTCCCAGGTTTACTTACCTTGTACCCCTGTCGCAAATTGCTGTACCCCATATTTCTTGTTCCTTGTTCAGCCAGGCCCTGCCCCCTCTCCCAAGTTGCTGTACCCTGTGTTTCTTGTTCTGTGTTCAGCCAGGCACTGCCCCCACTGCTCCTAGACTCCCACATGCCAACACTGTATCCCTTTCCCGAGTTGCTGTACCGTCCTGAGGAGGAAGATGACATACTGACTTTTATGCAAACGAGAGAGACCAGAGATTTATGGGATGCACCCAGACTGGAAAAGACCCCAAAACAACGAGTCACGCAAAAGGGAAGGAATAGAACCAGCACCATCTAACAAGGAAGACCCAGAGGAGTCCCCTGGCTTCTTTCCAGAGGCCGACATAACTTCAAGGAGACTCGACTGGGATGACAGCCTAGACTACGAGCCCTAAAGAATGAGTCTTCCCGGGGACTCCCGTGAGGAAGGAAGGCCCAGCTCTGTCCTAGTGACAGAGCTGCACGGATCCTCCTCTTCTGCGGTGTCCAGTGGGAGCAGTGGCGGTGTGCGCGACCCCTCGGGCCCCCACCCCAGAGCTGTGCTGCTTAATAAAGGCGTTTTTAAAAGGAGCTGGTCTCCTGGCCCGTTTATAACACTCCCAATAGAGTGACAGTTTTCCTTCATCTTTTGACAACCACTCCTCACTAAAAATGACCATCTCCTCAATTCAGGGAACCAATCACACAGGCATAATGATCTTTTAAACTCATTACTATGTGTTGTGGTGAGGGTTCAGTTTGCTAGCTAAGTTAAAGGTTTTTGTGTTTGCTTTTCCCTTTTGGGGCCCTGCTGCTGCCTGCAGCCCAGGGCTTCTGCTTCCGCAGCTGAAGCTTCCACTGGGTTCACCACCTCCCCGCCCGCGCCACTGTGGGGGACCCGCTTCTTTGTTTCTGGCCTCCGGCCCACTGGCACCAGCCCACTGGCCCTGGCCCACCCCACCACACTGTGCTGCCCTGCCACCCGGCACTGCCTCCCGCTGCTCCTGCCAGCCCTGCACTGCTCCCGGAGGGACTGGAAGAATGAAAAAGCACCACCAGGGTGCCTCCGCCATTTCAGGCCGTGCATTTATGCTTTGCCTGTGTCCCAGCCAAAGCAGTTCGGGTGGCTCGGTCTCGCCCCCTCCCCCACCACAGCTCCACCGTGCTTTTCGAAATTCTCTAATCCTCAGAAGTTTATTACAGAATTCACATATTTGCTACTGCTTATCTTAACCTGTCTGTACCTGATTTGTAGAAAGTTTATATGCCCCCCGGCTTATTTTCCTAATTGGTTCTCTCGATTTTCAATCCCCAGAGGCGTTAACCCTTTAAAAAGAGACAGTCAGACCCGCGAGCTTTGTCCTTTCTTCCGGCTTTACCCTTGCAGAATAAATCTGTGAATTGCAAAACAGGAGAAAAGTCCCCCCTGCTTCTTTGCCTGATCCATGGACCCGTGTTCAAAGTAGGGCTGGAAACTCTAATCCTAGTCAGGACTCAAACAGAAGTCCTGGCCCAGACCCGTCCTGGCCCACACTGGAGATGAGAAGAAAAACTATCTGAACTAGTCCGGAAATCTCTGGCTCGGGTCAATTATGTATTTTAACATGAAGCAGAGAATGGGAGGTGTTAGCGTTTTGAATATGTATTAGTATTTTGGATATTCAAGACTTTTGTAAATAGACACTGCAATCTTTTGTGAATTTGCAGTGTGTATTAAGGAGACTATCCCAGCACTAGCCCAGTGCCGAATAAAAATACACTGTCTAACTTTAAAGCATTAGGGGGTCTTTTGTCCATCAACAGATTGATATTGATACTAGATCGATATTGATATTTGGTAAATAATTTGGCGAGCCAGCCAGGAGATCTGCTCTGTCTGGCCAAGGAGCCATTGGGGTTGTGGACCCCTCCAGGGTGCCCCCCCAAATTTTCCTGGGGATAGGGCTCCATTGCCCCCAACTGACCACCTGGGGATAGACCAGGACTTGCCAAAAAATTGAAACAGCTACCTCTGAAGGAGTTATAAGGTGTACACAGAATCAGAAGGCAGTCGATAGAGTCCTCAGAAACATCTTATGCACAACAGATGCCTGTGTGGTTTTGTTTGTAAGTTTCCATGGAAATCTGGTATCAGGAATCTGTGCTCTAAGTTGAGAGTGGTAGAAGCAGCTGACAGTGATGTCAGCCACCAGTGATCTGTGTTCCAAGCTGAGACGGGGCTCAGCAGAGTGATCTGTGTCCTGAGCCAAGAAGGGCTTGGGCGACTGCCAGTAGTCTGTGTTCCAAGCCAGGAAAGGGCTTGAGCAGTGGGGCCCGCAGCCATGGGTTCTGTTTGTGGTTCAGTTATGTGGCAGTGGCAACTGTGGACTTTTTTAGTAGTTTGGCTGCATCCCGAGTTGCGGAGGTTCAGTGACCAACAGCAGCAGCTGCTGCTCACATGCACTCGGGCTGTGTATGTGTATTGGTGGATGGATCTTTGTTTTGGTGTGTGCTTAAAGATGATGTGTGGATTAGCGATGTGTTGTTTGTTTTTTAAGTGCTTGAGCTGTGTGGTGATAGTTTTCTGTGTATACCTTGGGTTGCATGTTTTTAAGGCTTGTTGGTGGTGTATTGAGTGTGTTTTGGCTTGTGTTTATTTGGACTATGGGAAAGAATTGTAAAATACGCATTTAGACCACCAGAGAGATCTGCACTGCACCTCGGCCATAGACCACTGGATTCTCAGCTCAGTTTTGGAGGGCCCTTGACTGGGTGCTTGTTCTGAATTGTGGGATGGCCTGCAGCTGTTCTGTGCAGCTCTGGGATTGCTAGCACTTGGGGTTGCGTCCTGGTGAAACTGAAGGTTGCTCCTTGCTACACAAAGGGAGTTGGTGGCCCAGGGCTTATGTTCAGTGCCAGTGGAGGGATCCAACCCATGGCTCTGGAACGTACCGCAGATACAGTCCACAGGGCACTCCGCATGATTCTAGACCATGTAGCAGTGGTGGTTTGTGTAGTTTGGGGAAGCAAAATTTTGCTTTATTATTTTGCGTGAGTGTCCTGCGTGGCGAGCAAAAGTGTATGTTTGAGACATGCTATTAGCATGAAGCGAGTGTGGTAGTCCAGATTCCATGGTTCCACTCCAGGTGACCACGAGTGGCTGGATGTGGACCTGATTTTCTCTGAGCCTGAGAGAATTACAGCCTGTCAGTGGCTGATCTGTTCCCAAGGGAAAGTTTCTTGGGAGATCTTGCACTCAAGGACAACATTTGTAAATCATCTTGCTTTCTCAAAACAGTTCTACATAACTGTAGATAGCGTGTTTTTCACTTGTCCCACCAATGGGACAAGAGGTGGTGTTCCCTTGACCAATCATGTTAACCCTGTAGCGTAAGACCCTAAAATAGCTAAAAAGTTGAGAGAATAAAGGCCCTTTTTCCTAGCAACTCGTTCTGGTGTGTGCTGTGAACCCACACTTCTACATCATGTCCACAGCAACAGCTGGAGAAGGACAAAATATTTGGGGGTGATTTGGTTCTTTGCATGCAGCCCTTACAGATTTGAATAAAAAAGAGGCTTCCCCTCCCAGTGGTGTGGTGTGGTGAGGAACACTGCCATCTTGTGTCAAAAGCTATAATTGTACATGTCTCAGTTTAGTTTACTGTTAACCATTTCTTCCTTTTAGTTAGCTATTTTTAAGCTATTAGGCTATTTGTCTTTTCTTTCTATTGGTAAGCTTACATGCCTAGGAATAGGAGACAGAGAGAATATGGTCTGAAGGAAGTTCCTTGTCCAAGGGAAGGGTGCCCTTGTAACCCTTGGATAGTATTTCACTGTGTAGCCTACCAAAACCTGTGGGTCCGATGAGTATTTGGATGGAAAATACCCAAGTCAGCTTGTCATCTCCATCATTCAGAGGAAGACAAGTCCACTCAGGCAGCTATACGGATTTTAGTGGAGACTGGTCAGGGGATGCGTGGGAGCAATAGGCAGTTTGAGTGATTGGAGAATGGAATTTCAGGTACTCTAAAGAAGCCAGTAGAAATTCTTTAGATTGGGTCTGCTTGATATACTTTTGTACCGGAGTATTACCTTGTGAAACTCTGGAGCTGGGACAAAATTAAAAAGCTTTGAGAGAAGAAAAAATTTCATCATGGGGA